TACTTATAGGTTTCCTTCTGAGTGAAATATAAGGCATCCCCCTGAAAATAGGGCCCCCCCTAGGCTAAACATGAGAGATTTGGTCCACTGATTCTGAAAGAAATGGAGTCACAAGAAATTCACCAGGAAATTCAGGAATTGGATTGTTATGATGATGTTCCAGAAGATGATGACATGATTGTCATTGAATAAATGAATAAATTCTTTTTTAAAAAAATATATATTTTATTGATTTTATACAGAGAGGAAGGGAGAGAGATAGAGAGTTAGGAACATCGATGGGAGAGTCATCGATCAGCCGCCTCTTGAACATCCCCCACTGGGGATATGCCCACAACCAAGGTACATGCCCTTGACCAGAATCAAACCCAGGACCCTTCAGTCCCAAGCCGACACTCTATCCATTGAGCCAAACCGGTCTCGGCAAATTCTTGATACTGTAGGATTCACAGTTTGTATACAGGTAATAAATTTCCTTTATTTTCATTTAACAATAAATGTGTACCGTATTCTTCTTCATGGAAAAATAAGACATCTCCTGAAAATAAGACCTAGTGCAACTTTGGGAGCAAAAATTAATATAAGACACTGTCTTATTTTCAGGGAAACAGGGTAGTACACGAACCTGATCATTCCAGACAGAAGTAACGTGTCAAAATGGAACCCCGTAGCCAAAACCGGTCTCAGTGGATAGAACCTCAGTCTGTGGACTGAAAGATCCCAGGTTCGATTCAGGTCAAGGGCATGTACATTGGTTGCGGGCACATCCCCAGTAGGGGGTGTGCAGGAGGCAGCTGGTAGATGTTTCTCTCTCATTGATGTTTCTAGCTCTCTATTCCTCTCCCTTCCTCTCTGTAAAAAATCAATAAAATATATATATATTTTTAAATGGAACCTGTTAGTTATGGGAGAATGAGGGTGGCTCCTCCTGTCCAGGCTCTCTGGCCGCCCTCCAGGAGGAGTGGCATGAGAGCTAAGAGTTTGACGCTTGACGATGAACATGAACTGTGCAATATCTTGGGAAGGAGCACTCCTGGCACGGGGCAGACAGCACGTGCCAATGCCCGGGGGCAGGACAGAACACACAGAAAGGAGGCGTGTGTGAAGGATCAGCCAGTGAGGTCAGCCTGTCTCACTGAATGTTCCTAACACTCAGCGGGAAGCATTGTTAGTACCAGGTCTATTTTGCCGAGGGGGAAACTGAGGCCTGCCTGGGGCCTCGCAGCTAGGAGTGACAGCCCATGCTCTGACCACCTGCTCTCTCCTCTCTGCCAGGCCTGATGGCAAAGGTTATAACAAACAATTAACACCCTCCGGAGCCCTGAGCCCTGCAGAGAACTTGTCCTCACGGAAGAGACCTAGCAAGAGCCCAGCCAGGTCTCATGGCTCCCCCAGTGGCCCTGTGTGTGGGTGCAGAGAGGCTGGGTCCTAACCTGGCTCCCCCACAGCTCTGCCATGTGACCTTGCGCTGGCCTCAAGCCCTCTCTTGACGCCTCATTCCTTCCACCTGGCCTGAAGGAGACAGCGCAGGACAGGAATCCTCAGCCCCAGGACAGGATGGGGGAGCACTCTTAAAAGGAGGGTAGCAGGAGCGGTCCTGCTGCGTGGGTCCCTGCCCAATAAGGGAACCTCTCAGCCCAGCAGGCCCCAAAGGGATAAGGTGAGGCTGGCTCACGCAGCCTGGTGCTGCCCCCTGGTGGCCATATCCGGGATGATGGGGGAGCCCAAGCACATCATCCATCAGCCATTCAGTCATTCACCCTCAGAGTGTCCCATTCAGACGCTGCAGCCAGGACCCTAGCCCTGGGTTAGGAGGACCATCATCCTCAAAATCCCCAAAGAAGGCAGTCTCCAACCCCATCCCAAGCTGTGTAACCACAAGTCTGCACAAGGACCGCGGGCGGGTACTGGGGTGAGATATCCAGGGGATTTGAAGCTAAATGGGGCTGGGCTCTGATGAGTGGATCGATCATGCAGCTCTTCATTCACTAGTTCACGCATTCACACATTGAACCTGTATTCATTGAGCGCCTCCTCCATGCCGGTGCCAGGGGAAGCAGCACACCACACCTCAGACACCAATACATTTCCAGGGTGTGGACGCCGGGGGTACTGGTAAGGAGTTGGAGGGGAGGGCAGGGGTCGGCTGAGAGAAGGTCAGCTGGAGCCAGGCATTCCTTTTCCCCGGAAAATGACGCCTTTGTGGGAATCAGGAAAGGGCTTCCTCAAGACATGTACCCCTCTTCAGCTGAAAATGGTGTAAGGGTGCGTGGGTGTATGGCGCCGGGTACAAGTGGCGCTGGCTATGCCGGGCACACCTGCCTGTACACTGCCGCCTCCCTTCCCCGGTGGCACCTTTGCCATGATCATGCCTCACAGCTTAGCCTGTGCTAGACCTTCACATAAATAGAATCACAGGAGACCTACTCTTTTATGTCAGCTTTCTTCTTTTTAAATATTTTGTAATTGATTTCAGAGAGGAAGGGAGGAGACACAGAAATATCAATGATGAAAGAGAATCATGGATCAGCTGCCTTCTGCACGCCCCACACTGGGGATCCAGTCCACAACCCAGGCAGTGCCCTGACAGAGAATTCAACTGTGACCTCCTGGTTCATAGGTCGACACTCAACCTCTGAGCCACACCAGCCGAACAGGTCAGGTTTCTTTTGCTCAAGATCATTTTTTGAGATACCTTCATCTTGCTGAGTACGTCCGTAATTCGTTGTCTTTATTGCTGCACAGCAATCCTTGGTGTAAAGATACACAATCTGTTTATTCACTCACCTGCTGACAAATATTTGGGTTGTTTCTAAATTGGGGGTATCATGAATTTTCTCATGTGGGTCTTTTTGAACACGTTTTTATTTCTTTTCTTTCTTTTTTGTATATTGCCCTTCCTATGTTTTCTTCCGTGAAGTGTCTGATCTTTTGTCCACTTTTAATATTGCATTTTTTAAATAACTGCTTCTGAGTGGAAGGAGATCTTTTATATTCCGGATACCTGTGCTTTTTGTCACACATATGGACTGAAAATATTTTCTTCCAGCCATGGCTTGCTTTCTGTTTTCTCTGTGGTGTCTTTTAAAGAACTGGCTCTCAGCTCTGATGAAGTCATTTTTTCAGGTTTTTCTTTTATGGCCTGTGCTCTGTGTCCCCTGTAAGAGATCTTTTAAAAATAATAATAATAATAATATTTTTTATTGATTTCAGAGAGGAAGGGAGAGACAGAAACATCAGTGATGAGAGAGAAACATCTATCGGCTGCCTCCTGCACGCCCCACACTGGGGGACAGAGCTGCAAACCTGGACATGTGCCCTGACTAGGAACCCAACTGTGACCTCATGGTTCATGGGTCAACGCTCAATCACTGAGCCACACTGGCTGGGCCCCTATAAGAAATACTGATAAATAATCACATGTTTTTTTGGGGTTGCTTTCGGTTTTTCAGTGTTGCTTTGCTCTTTTTTACATACTTTCTTTGTAATTAGAAAAAATATGATTTAGTTCCAAAGTCAGCTCAATAAAGCAAAGTATATTTAGAGAGGGCCTGCTTTCACTACTCTCTCCCTCAACACCAGCCACTTTAGTTTTCTTATTAATCCTTCCTTTGTTTCTTCTTGGAAATTATAGACCTCCTTCCCTGTTTCCTTAAACAGAGAGTAGCACTATATCTATCTATCTATCTATCTATCTATCTATTATCTATCCATCTACCTATCTACCTCTCTCTCTCTCTCTCTCTCTCTCTCTCTCTATATATATATATATATATATATATATATATATATATATATATATATATATATATATGTCTCCTCCATATAAGAACGACTAACAAGATATATATACTTATATATCTTGTTAGTTGTTCTTAGCACTCTATCCTGGAGAGACTATGTCACAATATATGGACATTTCCCTCTTTTTCTTTTTTTCCCTCCTTCCTCTCCTTACCCCCCCCCCCCAATCTCTCTCTCCCTTCTTCACTCCCCTCTCACCCTGTATTTTCCATAGCTGAAGAGTTGCTATACATAGAGACATTTTTAGTTTCTGTCTAGTTTTTGCTGCTGCCTTGAAGAGCCCTGTGTTTGCATCATTCGACATTTTGCCCTTGGGATGGATTTCTAGAAAGAACTACTAGGTCAACTGGTCCTGCTGCCAGCTTGACGGCCCTGCGGCTACCCCAGACATTCCCCAGAGCAGCACGGCGCCATGAGCAGCCACAGGGAACACTGTCCAGGCGCACACATCCTGCACTCTTCCTGGCTGACCCAGCGGAGGTGCCGAGCCAGCGCGCAAGGTGGGAGCACCTGTTCGGGGCTCCTCAGGCCGTTAATCACAGTGACCACACTGCCTTTGGGGCTGTACCTGGAGGGACCCCACAAAGTGGCTGTTATTATCCCCGTTTCACAGATGAGTCAGCTGGGGGTGGAGGTCAGAGAAAGTGAGGATCTCGCAAAAGCTCACAGCTGAACAAGCAGGAGAGGCAGTTGAGGAGGTCTCACACTCACACACACACACACTATACACCTGTAGTACATAGGTGTACATGTATACACGTGTGTGAATACTTTAGATCTGTGTTCACACATCTGTACATAGGCAGACCCTGTGCATACATATTAACTGTATGCACATACCTACATACACATGTGTGCATGTTGTACACCTCCTTCCAAACAGGACATGAGCATCCTCACAGCTAGATCTCTGCCGAGAGCAGGATCAACCCCTCGAGGCAGAGCTGCCAGCTCCGGGCAGATACACATCTGGGAGGCCGGCCTGTGACCGGGGCTCCCACTCTGCCCGGTGACCGGGGCGTCATGGCCAAGGGCCATCTCCAGAGGGTCCCAGCCGGGCGCCCGGCAGGCTGCCCCCTGTAGGGCCAGGAAGCTCCCTCAGCCATTGTGAGGACACAGGTCACCATGGCCGTTCCACCGGGGCCGGCCCCGAGGAGGCTCCGAGCCTCACTCCTGTATGCGGGCCGCCGGCCGCCATGTGGACTCTTGAGGACAAGCGCTCGGCCGCTCAGAACTCGGAACCCGATCCTGCTCGGATACCGTTGCTGGAACAAAGGGCCTCCGGGGTCCCAAGATGGAACCCTCCCGTGGGTGAGCGAGCCCTTTGGGTGTCGCTGGGAGAGGCCAGGACGGGCGGAGGGCGGGCCTCGAGGAGTGTGTGTGTCCCCTTGCTGAGCGGGTCCCTCACTCCAGTCCTCACCCCACCCCCCCAAGTCCCACTGTCCCCCTCCTGGGACTATGTGGCTCAGGGACAAGGTGGGCCTTCACATCCTGTGCCCTCTCCTGAAGTGCCAGAATGAAGCCAAAGAAAAAAGTTAAGGACTCCCCCAAGTCAGGTAGGACCTGCCCTCCTCTCCCAGCCTGCCCCTGTGCCCAGACACCGAGACAGACGGGGTGGGGTGGGGTGGGTTAGGGACAGGGTCAGGGTTACAGTCACACTCAGGGTTCTGGCCATGCTGATGTGAGTGTGGGTAACTCATAGAATCCCTTGGGATCTCATATGAGAACAGGCACATACCTTGGTGGCAGGCTCGATGCCCGGCCCCCGTCGGGGCGCACTCAGAAGGCAGCCAATCGATGTGTCTCTTTCACACCCATGTTTCTTTCTGTCTCTCCCCCTGCCTTCTACTCTCTCTAAACATCAATGGAAAACTATCCGCAGGTGAGGATTAAAAAGAAAGGAAGTATAGGGCCCTGTGCAATCCCCATCCTCAACTCCCCAGCACCACCTCTTGGAAGTTCTTACCTCCTGGGACAACGAGTCAGAAATACCTGTGTTCCCCTTTCGGCTCCTCCATCTACTAGTCATACAACCAACGCGACTCGTTACCCTGGCCTCAGGGTTCTGTCCTGTGAAATGGGCATCTCCCTCAGGCTGGCCAAGTGTTTAGCTCAGTCAGTACCTGGCACCAAGTGGGCCTTCATATCTACGTGTGTTTTCCTTCCTCTCCCCCAAAGAGCCAACCCCGCCGCCATCTCCTCACTCTCCTCGTCCTCCTCCTTATGAACCGCCTTTGTCTGGAGCAAGATTTCAGGCACCTCCGCCGCCTCCGGTATTCCATGCTCCTCCTCAGGCCTACTACGCAGGCCCCCGCGTTATTCACACCAGTGAGTGCTCCGGCCCGCCTCCTCGCCTTGCCCTGGCCATTCCCCGACTCTGCCCCACAGCGCCGCCTCCTCTGGGAAGCCCTCCTTCCCTGCCCCCTCAGCCGCCAGTGGCCACTATGCCCAAAGCCCTGAGCGGCTCCCTCCCACGTGGAATCACCAGTGGGGGGGGGGGGGGAAGGGAGGGACTGGCACACAGTAGGTGCTCAGGAAATGGGTGTGGATCGGAATCCTGTCATCTGCTCTGCCAAGGCACTCCCCCAACCACAGGTGAGGGGGATGCACGCCCGCAGGTGGGGCCTGGGCTTTGGGATGGTTACCCACACCTGCCGGGAATTCGGGATCAGCAGGAAGGCTGAGAGCTGCTTGAGTCTGCTGTGAATTCCCGGCTTCCTCGCTGTTGTCAAGGCCATAGAGCCCGTGGGTCACCCCTTCCAGCCAGTTCTTTCCTGAGTTCTCTGCCAAATGGGGTGGCTACATCAGGCCCCAGGTGTCCAAATCCAGCGCCCCGTCCCCTGGGCCCCAGAAAAACCCGAGTCCCTGTGGCTCTGGACAGTCCACCGGGCCGGGCCCTGTGCTTGGGACCAGATACCAGAGCCCTGGGGACCAGACACCAGAGCCCCGTGGACCAGATACCAGAGCCCCGGGACGGGGCTCCGAACAGGAGACGCAGCGCCCCCCTGTTCCTCCCCCCGCCCCCCGGGCTGTGGACATGCTGCAGGGCTTACAGGAGACGTGCATGTGTCGGTCCCTGTGTATAAAGGCAAGAGGAAGAGACGAGAAGGCGGCTTTGTGGTTTTCTGCTGTGCTGGGGGGTGTCTGTCTGTCTGTCTTACTGCAATGCAACTGCTTTCCTGAGGGTGTCGGTGGGAGCTCTGACCGTGTGGGACAGAGCAGCTGTGGCCGAGTTAAACAGCCCCAGAGGGACTGTGAGGGCGGGCTGTCCTGGGAACACACTGGGTTGACGCTGAATTGAGTTTAAACCCAGAAAGGCTCCCAGCTCCCTGGGTCCCCGGCCAGAGGCAGGGTGTCTGGACTGAGGCCTGAGCCCTGAGGCTGGTGGTCGGAGGGGAAGGGCCTGCTGGGGGCTGGGGCCCGTGTGCACGGTCTGGGTGCCCGGGGAGCATGGGAACCGCAGAGGGCACAGGCTGTGCGGGGGTCCGCCCAGTGGCGGGCTCTGAGGACAGGGGTGTGAGGTCTGACCCTCCTCCTCCCCCCCCCCCCCCAAGCTGTGTTCACCGGGGTGCCTATGGTGGTGTCTTCCAAGCCCATCCACTACGCGTGTCCGTACTGCGGGAACTACATTGTCACGGTGACCACCCCGGTCCCGGGGATCCTCAGCTGGCTGCTGTGCACAGGCCTCTTCCTGTTTGGGTGAGTGGGCACCTGACTGGCAGCGGGAGGGCCTGAAGGCTGGGGGAGGGGGCGGGGGGCTGGCCGGGCAGAGACGGCTGGTGGGGAGGGGGAGGGTACAGGCTCGGCAGGGCACACCCAGCCCGAGCCCTGGCTCACGGCCCGCTGCTCCCGAGGCTGCAGGTGTGTCCTGGGCTGCTGTCTCCTCCCCTGCTGCATGTCCAGTTTAATGGACGTGAGTCACTCGTGTCCCGTGTGCGGGCAGGAACTCTTCCGCTTCCACCGCCTGTGAACCTCCACGAAATAAATGTCTAATAAGGGACCTTTACGTGCCCGGTGTCTGTGCGACTGGGGTTCCCTCCCCCTCCTGCCCGGGGCTGCGAAGGGACTGAGGCAGTGCCCACCGCTGGTCACATAGCGGGGCCTGTTAGCACCGGGCGAAGGAAGGATGCTTAGCCCGCCCTCCTCAGGGTCCGTCCTCTCCTGACCTCTTAAAGCCACAGTCCATTCATGGATCCGTTTAAGCCTCTCAGTCCTCTAGTCCACCTCTCCAGCCAATAGGTCTCAAGATGGGCGCCATGAGGCCCCTGCAGCCCTTCCTCTGACCCCATCCCCTCAGCAGTACCCCAGTGCTGCCCTTGTTGCCCCACAACGACTTCTTGCCCTCCTGATGCCCCACCCTGCTCTTTCCTTGAGGGAGGCACTAGCCCCTCCCTGCCGGTCTTCCCTGCCCCAAGTCTTGCCCACTCCCTCCGGTCCTCAGCAACCAGTGACTGGAACATAGCAAGCTCAATTACCAGGTGAGAATTAGTAGCTTCAGCTCTGATTATGCCAGACGCCTGCCTAGAGTTTCCAGGCTTGAGACTGAGTTGACATTTGACTGTAAAGTGTGCTGCTGCCCACCCACCACGCGTCCAGACGCCTCCCTGTGCTGCCCCTGGAGTGCCCTGCCCGGCCCCCCTCGCCCATTTCTTCCGTCGGGCCCAGAAGGGCATCACTTATTCTGGGGCCTCTGCCACTTCCCCGGGGGGGCAGGCGGGTTCACGTGAGCTGGGAAGGAAATCCTCCCACATCTGTCCCCACCCCTCAAGCAGAGGCTGAATTCTTGCAATTCCTTCATGGCCACAGCACAGGAGCCATCCTGCAGGCCGGTGACTGCGGGAACTGGAGGAAGCTTAGACGTTAAAAGCCCTCACTGGCTTAGGACGAATGCTTGTGGGTAAATGAGTGCTGGGATGAAGTCAGGTCAGGGGTGCGCACGCACTGACAGAAAACCCAGGGCACAACCGAAGGCCATTTCACTCGGCAAAACACAAAAATATATAATCCCACCCTTCTTTTCATTTAAAATGAATTTCAGAGAGAAGGAAGGGAAGGAATTAGGTGGCAGAAGGGTCTGTGAAGTCCATTTCATCACTGACGTGTGGCAGGGGGTCGGCTGCAATGCTCCCCCATCCTGGGCACATGACGCCAGGGCTGGTGGCTGGTCCAGATTCAGGAACTGGACCAGCAGCTGGAAACTCGACCCGTCCACCCAAGACGAATGCCGTGGAGCGGCGAGAAGAGGTACGGCAGCAAGATGCCCGTGTGCGGCCTGCGGCTGCGCAGAGCTGAGTCGAGGAGGCACTGAAGCCTGGCGGTGGCCTCTCATTAAGCCGCCGCCCACAGGCAGACGTTCCTGGAGCCAACGGGTCAGTCAGGTGAGAGCTGCTCTGCCCACACCTCTGTGACTGCTCTGGCAGGGCCAGGGTTGCACCAGCCAGGGGAAGGGTGATTTCCCCAGACCGAATGTCAGCCCTGCAAAGATGCCCCAGCAGCTGCCCCACTGCCATTTCCTGCACCCCCAGATGCCCTGGGGAGCACAGAGTCCCAGTTTCCACACCCAAAGAGACCCATTTTATCTTTTAAAATATATTTTTATTGATTTCAGAGCAGAAGGGAAAATCAGAAACATGATGAGGCCCTGACTGGGAACCAAATCATGACCTCCTGGTTCATAGGTCAATGTTAACCTCTGAGCCACACCAACTGGGCCCAAGACCCATTTCAGTGAGATTTCAGAAGGTGAAACATCGGACAAACTAGACCCCAGTTCCTGGGAGCCAATCCCTCATTTATAATAAACCCGAACAGAGTGGCACCAAATGGACCCAGAGCGACAGAAAGGCCCTGAGTCTACACGGGGTGCCCACCAACTGGTCCCACATTTCAAGGGGAGACCATGCTGTCGCAAACAGGGTGACTGTCATCACGGAGGGAAGAGCGGGTCACAGAGGGAGAACGGGCACATCGGCCACCACCATCCCAAGAATTAAGTCTTGAGCTGGGTCTTGGCCAGCCCCCGGCTGAGAGGAAGCCCACGCCCCCGCCGAGGGGCCAGGCTTTGCGGGTTCGTCACAGGGCAGGCCTGGCTCTGCCTATGGCTGGAGCGAGTCATCCGAGGAGCTTGACTGCAGGCCGGTGTCTCGTCCCACGCTGGCTGGTTTGGACTTGGATGCCCAGACAGCTGCAGTTAGTCCCCCGACAGCGATGTCCGTAGCAGTTGCAGGGTCGCGGTGGCACATGGCATATTGCCCGCTGTTGGGCTGGTATCCCAGCCCTCTCACTCACCTGGCTCAGACACCACACACCTTCAACAAGGCCCGGCCCGGCCCCGGGCAGCACCTTGTGAGAGCCATGGACCAACCCCCAGGCTGTGTGATTAGACGGCCCAATGGTAAGAAAATATTCAAGTCACACTGCAAATCCAGACTCTTCAGCTTCTTTAAGACTCAGGTGCACAGGAAGCACATTCAGCGTCAGACTCAAGAGCAGCCCAGCCCTCTCCCTCCCCGCATCCCAGGGCGATATTACTCGCTGCCTTGCACACCTGGGCCCAGAGCATCATTTCCACTTAGTGGCCTCGTGTCTGAGCCTGGCCCCAGGGCCTCACGGTAGAACCAGCCGGGACGCACGGGGCACAGCCTGTCTCCCTGTGCCCAACTTTCCCTAAAGGCTGACTTGGCTTTTCCAAGCAGTTTTGTCTCTGCACCAGCTGGGAGCTGCCAGCAGTGCGGTCTGGACAGCACGCCCGGCAGGGCCCAGCGCTCAGAGACCATGCCCTGCCCTGGGCTCCTGCAGCTCCCACTGGGCTACCTGGGGGCAAGGTGGCACGTGGCAGTGAGGTGGTTTCAAGGCCAGCTCGGTACTTAGCCACCAAGAGCCCAGCTAGGTGGTCAGCCTCCAAGCCCACGTCCTGTCACTCGGGGCTGTCTACATGCCTCGCTGGGACGGAGACGGGGCTTGCTCAGTGGCAAGTTGAGGACTGCTGACTTGTAGCCAGAGTCAAGACAGGACACGTCTCAACCTCCCTTATCACAGGAGCACAGAGGAGGGTGTGATGCTGGCCTCCCAACCCAGCTCTGCCATCAGTGAGGCTGTCACAGCCGGGGATACCTCCTGCCATTTCCAGCGGCCATCACTTCGAGCCACACCCCGGCTGTGTGGACAGAGGCCAGGAAGCAGGACCGGAGTGGGGGCTGAGGGGAAGGAGTTGCATAGACATGGTTGTCACACCCCTCCCACACCCACATGCCTGAGGAGTGGACCCTGAACCTGCCACCCCTACCCCAATGCCCACTTCGCAGGAACGAGTCTGGAAGGGCTGTGGGTGCCCACTCCTCACTGGTAGGCAAGGGGAAAGGCCAGCACAAGTTGCCACCCCACACCTTGGTGGCTGGGATCGGGAAATGGGGGACGCAGCCCTATCTGTCCCATGCAGTTCCTGGTCACCCCCGAAGGTCGGGAAAACAAGAGCCCCAGTGCTCCGTCTCACGTTAATGCCAGCCCATCAGTGCAGCAGACCACAAGGGAGAGCATCTGGTTAGAGCTTTACCTGGCATGGTAGGCATCAGCCACATGGCAACTTGCAGTTGACACTCTTGGCCATTCTGGCCACACGTGGCTAGTGGCTGCCACACAGGGCAGGAACATGCAATGTCGCTGTGGCAGATGATACTGGAGAGCCAGGTCACAACACAACTGCCGATGGCCAGACACGCTGCTCAGTGACCCCCAGGCGTGCGGAACGTGGCTCTAGCGTGACAGCACCATGTTCAGTGAGGGGCAAGGTGGCCTCCATCCCGCTGCACTTCCTCCCCAGGGGCCATCCTACCAAACGCTGCAGCCAACCAACCAGGAACCCCCCACAGGAGCTCCTTTCCCGCTTGGTCCTGGGGCCGGCAAACTTGGCCTTTCACCTGTTCTTTATAAATGAAGTGCCCCCAGCCTTGGCCTCCCCTCACTGCAGTCTGTGGCTGTGTTCAGGCTCCAGCGCGGAGCTGTGGCCCATGACTAGCAGCCCGCGGAGCACAAAGCTTATCGTGCATTCAACCGCACAGCCGCTCCCAACCAGAAACCCACCCTCCTAGCACCCCAATCACCACCGGGCCCCAACGCGAGGCGAGGAGAGGACCCGGGGAAGGCCTTGCTCAAGGAGCAATGGTTCTAGCCCAGCCTGTTCTCACTGCAGCCGCACAGCTCCGGCCCGGGTCACCCCTGCAGCCGTTTCTCCTTGGCGCCGTTATGCACCAAAGCCACACCAGCCAGCACGGCAGACTCGGTTTTAAAGCGTATTTATTAGTTAGGCACGGCTACTTGCAGACACGACTGGAGACACATGCCTCACTCCAACGCATTCGACTTGAAGCTCTTAGGGAGCCAGCAATCATTTCGAAGGTGGCCCCACGCTGGACGGGCAGACACTGGCAGGTGCTCTGGGAACTGCTGTTAAACGGACAGCGATGGCAGGCCCTGTTCTCACCTCGTGTGCTTTTAACGTGAGCCTCTTCTGGCACACTGCTCCTGTGTGCACGCGGTGGGCACTTTCCTCTCACTGTGGGTGCCAGGGACCCAGCGTTCTAGAACTTGGTTCACCATCATGAGACAGCGACATCTTAGAGGGAGAGAGGATGGGCCGCCCTCGGGGGTCAGAGTCAGCCCTCTGAAACGCAGTGTACCTCCATCCCTGTCCCTGAAACTCAGTTTTATGAGCTCAGAAGGCTCTTGATGCCATAAACTGGGAGTAGAGGGCAAAGGAAACACCCACATTGCAAAGTGTATTTTTGTAAAAAGATTCATTTACTGACTTTGGTGAGAATTCTGTGACCTAAGACTATATAACCTACCTTAGCCAGAACCCCAAACAAACAAAAAATCAACATGTTCTTTGGATGAAGGAGGGGCGATGCGATCCACACCCCGGCCCCGGGCAGCACTGGGTATGAAAGCACACGTCCCAGCGGAGTCCGGAGA